GTATTTATTTTACAGTTAAAATATATGTTTATCAAATAAAGTCTAATGTTACAACTAATTGGGGATCCCTTTAAAATTAAAAATAAAAATAAAACTCCTGAATAAGAACCCTGAACAGAATGAAGTGTCTGCTTCAGTTTTCACATGGTTTAAACATGACGATTGTTCGCCTCTCATTAAAGCAGCTTGAAGTCATAAACAGACGTCAACAGATGGTTTTAGCCTCAGTGTGAATGCTGCAGGATTAAAAAACAAAGGTTCTGCTCCTCTCACCTTCAGCTGGGAGGCGCAGGCTGACCTTTGACCTCTGCACACGAGCCTGCGAATGTTCGGCATCAACGTGCTTAACGCGCGCGAAAAGACACGCCATCAATCACGGGCCAACACGTCGGCACGCTTTATCTGATGAGCTGAATGCATGAATAATCTGAGGGAGCAGCATCACGAGAGGAGGAGGAGGAGGAGGAGGAGGAGCAGGTATAAATGAAGGAGCAGGAGAGCCCAGACCTCACGAGGAAGAGGTTAAAGAAGAAAACCAGAAGAAAGAAAAATAGCTGCAGAAACAATAAAAAAATAGTTTGAAGCTGAAGTCACAGACAGAAGATTAAACCATTTAAACTTATTTTTATTCACTAAAAGTAAGTTTATATCTTTATTTTACAAAGTCTGATTTTACAAATTAAGTTGCAAGAGTTCTGTTCAGCTCTTGACTGTTTTTTAGGTTTTTAAGCCGTTTTTGGAGATGGAGAGTGTGCGAGCTGTCGTCTACATGTCCGTCGTCTTGTCTGTGATGACATCAGTCTGTCAGGGTCAAAGGTCGCCAGAAGATCAGCTGCCGCCGGCACCGGAGGAGCCTGCCTTCGGACTCACAACCAACCAGCTGGTGAGAGTCACAGCAGTTCGTTTTTATTAATGCAACTTTGAGATAAAAGCTGAAACATTTATCATTTTAAAAATGTTTGATTATATAAAATGTAAAATGTGATTAAATGGAGTAAATTAGGACATTGTTTCTCTTCAAACACGTATTGATGCAAAAACAATTTAAGACGCTAAATAAAGAATTTAAAAGTAATCAACCATTAAAAGACTTGCTTTCTTCAAAAATTAAATAAAATCTTTAGATGCACACGTTCAAGGCAGCAGGAAATAATTTACTAAAATAAATCGAATTTGAAATAAAATAACATTTCTGAGGAGAAATGTGAACTCATCTGATGTTGCAGGTGCCTTTAAATTAATTATCTACAACAAGAAATAACTAAAACCTCCATGTTTCGGTTGCTCATGGTGTAACTTTGTATTTTGTTGGTATTTTATTAACTCAGATGTGATAAATAATCAGTGAAATTTATTGTCAGGTATATTTAAGATAATATTTGCTGTTTGTATTTGTGTTGTTTTAAGGATTGTTGCCAAAAAATGATGCTGGCGTTAATTTAATGATTATTTGTTAGTGATGTGTTTGTGTTTTTCTCTCTGTGTGTGTGTGTGTGAGCAGGCTGAAGCACTAAAGGGTTTCTTGGATGAAGCTGACAGCAGAATGGGTCTCTCTGTGGAGAAGAAAGCCAGCGTGATCCCTCGGGTGAGAACATGTGTGACAGATCTGACAGCAGTCTCTGTCACGACTACGGTAATATTAGTGATCTCAACTAGAGAAATGACAAAGAACCAACCCTTTAAATTCATCTTTTGTGTCACTTTCAAGATGTTTTTACTGTAAAGAACCTAAAAAGTGTTATACGTGAAGAGTTATGTGAGAGAGGGGTCTGTGAGGGGTCCAAGGCATTCCCAGACCAGACTATCTCCAGCATGTCCAGGTCTTCCTGAGGTCTGAGTTGCCTGAAAAACCTCCTCATAGTGTCGTCCAGGAAGCATCCTCACCGGGTGCCTGAACCACCTCAGCTGGCTCCTCTCGACGTGGAGGAGCAGCAGCTCTCCTCCACTTGAGGCAGCACTTTTGGAAGTTGGAAGCACCGAGCTTAATTAAGTTTTGGGAGTTGTTGAGAAATAATGTTCCCCTCCACTGACTGTTGACACAACAGTTTAATTTTGAATTGCAAAAGTAAATATTGGATAAAACTGTAACATTGTAACGTTTCTGTCCTCTCAGTGTGACGTCGGCGAGCGGTGTGCGATGAAACACGGCCCTCGGATCGGCCGACTCTGCGACTGCCTGAGAGGAACGGCCTGCAACACCTTCTTCCTGCGCTGCTATTAAACACCCACACAGATTTATCTTTACACTTGTGAGGAGGCAACCTCAAACGTTTCACCCCAAGCATCGTGTTTAAACTCTGTAAACGGACCGCACCAAATGTTCCCACGAGGATAAAGATAACTTATGAAGTCCTGACTGTGTCTCTGGATGTCTGACTTTCTTTTCAAGTCTGTGTTTGTCCTTCAGATTCGTTTATTTTTATTAATAAAGATTCTTCATAAAGCTGCATGACTCCACTGACGTCATGATTTACAGACAAGCTCAACGTGAACTGTTGAAGATTGGAGTTAAATTTATCTGAGGAGCGTCTCATCAGATAAATTTATTTATTTTACACACATTACTGTTTGTTTTTAGACCTGAAAAACAGCTTTGGACACAATCCCACCTGTAATCCTCAAACTGTTTGTTTTTTTAATGTTTGTCAGAAATCATTAAAAAGTGAAAAATAAAGTTTATGTTGAGAGTAAGTTGTAAAGTGTTGTAAGTTTTTAAAAACAGATCAAGAGTTGGCTTGTAATTCAGAAACTAGCCTGAGGGTGGCAGTGTTGTGTCATTGTTCCATGGAGGTAAATGCATTGTTCTGATGTTTGAGTCCACACAAAACGCTAGAATTAAACGCTAGATGTGTATTTTTGACATTATTCATAAATTCTAAGTATAAAGAATGATTTATTTTGATTACATGTTATGTCAGCTATTTTTATTTATTTCATTTTATTGTAATTAAACAGACTCAGTGAGAAAAACAAACTTTTTACATTTTCCTGCTCTGTGACAACTTAAACAGTCAAATTTAAAGTTAAACTGAAATTTTCTGTTAGTCATAAACATTTATATTGTTACAGTAGCACATATTAACCTATATTAGTAAAATTAATTGCGAGGCAACATAAAATTTGTTCTTTTGTGAACTTCAAATTTAAGTTGAACTCATTAAAATAAAACTCAAAAATTGTCCCCCAGATTTGAAAATGTTGGTCCTACTGTTACCACTTATTTACTCCATGTATAAAAAATAGTTGAAACACTAGTCTGTTTGTTTATGCAATGTTCAACTTGCAAAGAGGTGTAAAATGTGAAAATGATCAGATTTGAATTGATCATTAACTTAAAAGAGATTTTTGTGATGTTAAATGAATGGCAGTGAGTTTCTTTTTGTTAATGCAACTCAAAGTTTATACGAGTGTTTTATTTTACTTTATTCACAAATCCTGACAGTAAAATGTGTGATCTTCATTTTTTTTTTTTGTAACTTGGATGTGTTTTCATCAGCCAGAACGAGCCGGTTCTGATTACATGAAACCTTCAATGTGTGGCACAGACAGGTGCAGCTTATCAAAGAGTATCGTGGACAGGATGACATTTAGCTTTCCAGCTCTCAGAGATAAGACAGAGTAATTACTGGACTGAACACACGGGCCGCTACAGAAAAAACAGGTTTGAACTGAGAGAATAAAGATTAATTTCAGCATTCAAATCTGAGGTTTAATCATGATTTAGCCATGTACAATTTATAGAATAATTCACTTCAGCATAAATACTTTGAGACTGTTTTATTAAGATGATAGCTATGCCTCATGATGCATATAGTCCTTACATTAATAAGCTTTAAATAAGCTTAAAAATGTCATTCATATAATGCCGATGGTAGCAGCTTTGTTATGGTCCAGTACTCTACTTATAATGAATCATTCAAAGCGCAGCATAGTTTAATAATAAAATCTAAATAATTAGATCTAAGTGGTTCATTGGTCACATGATTATATGTATGTATATTTATAATTTTTAGGGCTTAATTAATATATATTATGAAATCTATGTTTTTGCATGTGACCTATTTAAACTCATTACAAACACACGCTCAATTCTTAGACACAAGCCTAAAGTGATTGTGGATGTCATGAAGCACATGCTTTTGAATTATTTATTGTTTGTATGTTATGTGAAATTATGTCATATTTGTTTTGATGTTTTCTAAGTAATGGGTTGTTTAGTGTTATTTTTACTGTGTAATATGTTGTTGTGTAGCACTGGAGCCCATGGCAATTGTTTTTAGCTGTGCTGTTTGAAGACTTCAGGCATGATACATTTTAATCCACTTTTTTTCTTTTTTTGTTTTTGAAAAAAAATCATATCTCTTGTTGCTGTTACCTTTTTGAAATCTGTTAAACTATCTCAGTGTTTTACGTTTTTAAAGCATAAATAAAAGAAGCTAATTTAGATTTTAAAGGCACAGTGTGTAGGATTTTGTCAATTCTTTTACCTGAAATTGAGATAATCACTAATGACAATAACAAAAAAACATGTCTAATCATTGCAGACAAAGACCTTGTTTTATTATTTTTACCTTATAAAAAGCTGTTT